TAGGGGGGGATTTTATAGGGATTTTAAAGGGATTTTATAATTTTAAATCTAATACAGGTCATTTAATATATATTTTAATTTGGCTTTTAGATATTTATTGTATTGTACTGTTTTTATTTACCTGTAAGCCGCCCTGAGTCCCTCGGGAGAAGGGCGGGGTATAAATGGGAATAATAAATAAATAATAAATAAATAAATATATGCCAATTGCTACACATCTGAATTTTAATCACATGACCAGGGGCAGGCAACCTTGGCTCTTTTATGACTCGTGGACTTCAACTCCCAGAATTCCTGAGCCAGCTTAGCTGGCTCAGGAATTCTGGGAGTTGAAGTCCACGAGTCATAAAAGAGCCAAGGTTGCCTACCCCTGCACATGACCATGGGGATGCTGCTGTGAAAAATAGTAATAAGCCACTTTTTTCAAGGCTACTGTAACTTCAAATGGTCACTAAATGAATGGCTGTAAGTCGGGGACTACCTGTACAGAGAAACCTTGGCCAGATACTGAAGAGATGGTGATATAGGACAGGGAGGGCTCCTTTCCAAGAGCTTCCCAAAGCTGGAGGGCAGGCACCCCTGAGAAAACCTTCTCTGTCAAGACCATTTTCAAAAACTTGTGGAAAAACTTCCAAAGCAGTCCTTAAGACTCTGATATGTTCCTATTCTATCATCTTCCCAACTGGAGAGAGGCTTATATGCCAAAAACGAGAGACAGTGAATGTGAACGGAGTAGCGTCATTTTAAGGCTCCGAAGCTCTTTGGATTCAAAGGAAAAAAGGTGTTTAAGTTTCGAAGGGATGCCCAAGATGGCTCCTCTCTGCAGCTCTCTGAAGTCCTCACCTGGGACTGCCTGACTGTTCTCTGTAATGGCAGAGTGATTCCAGAGACAAGTCTGTGAGAAAATCTCTGGGCGCCCTGAACTACCTTTTGCCTTTGCATCTGAAGTGCTGCGTGCGCTGCCCTATTTAGTGCATTCATGTACAGATGATAATAATCTTTAAATATATTGCTGCTGTTAGTTCCAACCTAAATATTCCTGTTTCTCTTTGGCCAGTTGTAGTCCCTGAGCTTCAAGGCTCTCAATCATCGCTTCGCCCAGCTGAGCATTTCTCCAGGTCCTTTAAAAAAAGGGAACAGAAAAAGAAATCAAAGAATTAAAACAGCCTCCTTTTCTCTTTCCTCCTTTTTCATCTTTCCTCTTTTCCTAGGTGTCAAACAAGGAGGAGGGGGTCCTTCTTTCATGTTCTCCCCCCAGACAAAGGAAAATAACTTTGAAAACAGCTGGTAGTCTTGCCTTCTTTTTGTACTATTCCGTTGAACAGATAAAGTGGGAGAAAATGAAGAAATAATCAGCACTATGAAGGAACATGGAACTCATTTCCCTCCAAAGAATAAAAGGGCCATAACAGCAGGGCGCCTGTGTAATTCATAGCATTACTTTAATTTTCTCTTTCAATATATTGGCCCAGACTCTGCCTCTTGCTACCTGGAGCCCCAAACCCTCCCAAACGGAGTCACACACCACAATTCTCATGTTTCACTGGCACTCTTATTATTTGGTACTTAGATATTCAACAGTATAAAATTGTTCAACGTGGTGTGCAAATTGCTTCCATTTCTTGCAAGTCTGCAAAATGGAATTTGGGAATCCTAAAATGCATATGGATCAGGACACTAAGGATTTAGGGCAGGCTCCACATTAGATGGCTGCAGAACCCAGATTTATGTTGCAGGCGAGTATGGAAGCTCAAGATGGACACCCCCCCCCCGTATACTGAATGTTGGAAGAATTCCCAAATGACTGCTGCATTTGGATATAGTTGGCTGGCATACATTTACTCAGTTGTGTGAGGGGGTGAAAGATATTTAACTCCTATTCTGTTCTCTCCCCAAGTCAAGAGTACAATAAAAAGGGAGATGGATCTTTCGGCTCAGCTCTGTCACAGATGGTTAGCTGGCTTCCGCAATCCTGTCGAAGCCACATTTTTCAGAATGTTCTTGACCTTCACAGTCAAGCTACCCTCTTTAACTAAACAATTGCATGACTGCTGAAGCAATTCTTCAAAGCTATTTTAAGCTGTACCAGGCAGTAAAGATGCTCCTCTGTGCTTTTGCCTTGAAGCACAGGTGGGAGGAGATGAAAGAAGATGAGCAGGACAGAGCAAACCATTGTAGAAGATAGTTAATGACATGAGGAATTACTCCAGAGTAATTTATTATTGCCGGCCTATAGCCAGGAATTTTGCCAGACTAAAGCACTCTATCTTTGCTCCTTGGGAAAGACCCCCCCTCCCTCCTGTGAATCTGCACTACATTCCACCACAGTAAGAGAGCATCATCTATTGTTCGCGCACTTGTACTCTCCATTTAAGTCCATCTAAATGTTAATTAGCCTTACCCCAAAAGTTCCTGTGGAAAAGAATGGCAACCCAAATGGCAAAACTAGTACTGTAGCAGAGACAAAAGGTGAGCGCTCCCCTCTTAACCTCCCACATTAGGACACCAATCTGGATGGCTTTCTCCTGCAAAGCTGGCAATTTGGGAAGTACAACATTGCATTTAACGGGGAAAAAAATATGTGATTAGATGAATGTGTAGCCTGACCCTTGGTATTTCCATAAGCTTTCCATCAGCGAGAAATTCAAAGTTGTTTTAACAATACCTGATTGGCTGACTATTTGGGGCCCTTTACCGTGCACTTCCTTTTTGATGGGATCAGTAGTTCCATTCATTCTGGTTACAATATTCCTCTTCTAAATTACGTCCTCCATTTTTAGCTGAAGATAGATGACAGGAGTCAAGAGCCCTTGAACTGAACAGCTCCTTCCAACTCTCCTCCTGCTTGTTCAAGGCAGATATCCATTTCATATGGAGCTTTCCCCACTGTTGAAATGAGTATCATCACCTCATCCTTGAAGTGACAGAAAACCATTCAAGAACAAAATTGACTGCCCCCATTGCCTCTAGTCCCACTGTTCTAGGCACCTAATCTCCCTCCAAAACAACAGTGATAAGCCTAATTAATGTCATATATCATGAGGCTGCTGTTGGATGGTAGCAGAATGGGGGTGGGTGGGTTTACAGGGACACAGATGAGAATGATTTGGGCTTGTCTTGTGCATAGGCTGGGAATCACATAAAGGCAAGGTCATAGGGACATAATATAGCCAGATTCAAGTGGAAAAAGGTTCCTAATCAAGACAATAAGCCTGAGTCAAAGATGACATTTCAGATAGGCAGAAAGGAGCTATCAGCCTGGCACACATTCACCCAGAGTTCAGTCCCATTGCATTCCATGGGATCTAGGAAATGCATTTTATGTGCCTGCCTGGGTGTCAGATGTAATGTTAGGGAAAGAAACTAATGCAGGTTCCATCCCGCAGTTTCTCTTCGGAATGACATCTCTTTCCTAGCAGCCTTTCCCCACTGCTGAGTTAAAATGATATTTAGTCATTCCTGAGTCACAACAAGGCCAGCATAACATTTGCTGCCTCTGATCTCCATTAGCAATCCTTCTCCTGCCTTCACTGAATTGTTAACCCTCAATTGTTGCTCAAGGGTGTTGTTCAGATATGTATGTGTGTGCCATTCCATAGGCCATGGCACTGGCTTGCTTGTTGGCGTTCTGCCATCTGCTTTCAACATATCGAAAGCCAGAAAGGAAAACTTCGCTAATCAGAAGCCAGAAGGTTTTTCACTTCCGAGCTCTGCCTAACCTTTCTCGGCTGGTTTGTTTGACCTTCTTTTTACATCATATTTGCACATTTCCTAAAATTAAAATAGTTGAAATTTTTTTAAAAAATCTATTGGAAAACATAAGGGCTGAAAGAATTTCAGAGAGGAGGGAATTCCTGCCATCAATGTACAACCCGCTAGGTCCTCTAGAATAATTGAAATGGACTAGCCCAGGGGTAGGCAACCTTGGCTCTTTTATGACTCGTGGACTTCAACTCCCAGAATTCATTCATTCAGGAATTCTGAGAGTTGAAGTCCACGAGTCATAAAAGAGCCAAGGTTGCCTACCTCTGGCACTAGCCCATGGACAATGTGCTTTCTTACATACTTGTTGGAGGAGGAACATTGAAATTGACAAATAGAGGAGAAATGCCAAACAGCTACAAATCGAAAGTCTTGTGTTCCTCAGCTAAAAGGGTGTTCTGCTATCTTCCCTCTATTATGTATTTATTTCATCTGCCTTTATTATTTTTACAAATAACTCAAGATGGCAAACATACCTAACACACCTTCCTCCTCCTATTTGCCCAACGATAACCCTATGAGGTGGGTTGGGCTGAGAGGGATTGGCCCAAAGTCACCCAGCTTGGCTTTCATGGCTAAGGCAGGCCTAGAACTCACAGACTCCCACTTTCTAGCTAAGTGCCTTAACCGCTAGGCCAGATTGGTTCTCTCTATTTGGTGGAAACCTAAAGACAAGTTGATATCAGCAACAGAGAGGTCTTGGGAGGTAACAAATTTGAAATGAACTGGGGAAACAAAATATTAATAGAGAGGACAGAGACACAGTAACATCTGATTCATACAGAAGATAATATATGTAGCTCAAGGTTGAATTGTGGAGTCCTTGATGCTCTCTGAGTTTGGTTGTTTGCTTATAGAAGTTTCATTACCATCAGTGATAGTGATTGTGGCGTTTGCTCCCAATTTATATGCAGTAGGTTGCTCTGCCAGTGTTGATGGGGGTGTGGATTTCTCCTTGGTAGTTCCTTGATTAGGATATTAGTTTTTTGCTTATTAATTGGTTCTACTTAGAGCAATGTGAATATCATCTAGTCATTAAGCATTTACCAAGGCAATTCATACACAATTCTGTTGATTTTGTTGGGAGAATAAAGCATACTGTATGTCTAAAAGTGATTATGTGCTACCCAGAGTTACAATGGAGTTGGGCAACCTTATATTTTTAATAGTAACAGCAGCAGCAGCAGCAGTGATAAATAATGTGCTCTACCCCTGTGTATCCTGAGAAGCAGATAAAATAAGTGGGATCAGCAAAAGCAAGGCTTATTGGAAGTTCTCCATGGTGAATTCTTCTAGGGTACTAATTCTTGTGGGATTAAACTGTTTATATTAACCAAAATATTTGCAAAACCAAAGAGCACTTCCAGGCATTGCTTACACTGAACTTTCATGTTGTCACTCTCCATTTATAATCCTCCCATCTTCTCTCTATCCTGAGAGGCTATTTTTAAGGGGGGGGGACCGCTAAAGGAAGAGGCATCCAAGCCACCATACCGCACAATGCCTTTTGACCATGAGAACCCCAAAATAAAAGTAATGGTGGCTTGAATGCCATTCAAAATCAAGACAAGCAAAATGGAGTGAATGCACGCACACTTACACTTTTCCAGACTCCTGAAGCATCTCCAACCACTGGGCTTGCTCATAAGCTGATTCTGCTGCTAGTACAATGTTGCCCTAAAAATAATAATAATAATAAACACCATCTTTTCCTCAAGAGAAACTGGAATGTAAACGCAGCTCATCAAAGGGGAAAACAAGCAACCACTACTATTACAAAAAGAAGACTATCTGGGAATACATATATCAGTTTTACTTGCATGACTTTCCCAGAGTAATACTGGGAATAATAAATGTTGCAAGAACAATTTGCATTGATCCCTGGAAAGCAGTAAGGAAAGTTAACCAATTGAAAGTGATGGTCTACAAACAAATGAAAAATCTTAGGGACTTCTAATGTCACAGCTAATAGTTCCCTTTACTGGCTGTTACATTTATGTGAATAAGCTATCAAAGAGAAATCAGATTAACAGAATAACTGAGTTGAAAGGGACCTTGGAGGTCTTCTAGTCCAACCCCCTGCTTACGGAGGAGACTCTATACCATTATGGACAAACGGTGGTCCAGTCTCTTTTTAAAAACGTCCAGTGATGGAGCAGTGTTTTGCTGCTTGAGCATCTCCGTTGTATGCTTCTGTTGGGCCATCTACTTCTTTACTGTCTAATTAGCAACTTGGTGCAGTATTAAAATCTATTAAGTGGAACAAGAAAGGAAGAAAAACCACTTTACATGGAAGTCCTCGTGAGAGATTTTCATTGCATAAGGCATATTGGATTCTTCTTTGGCTTCTACGATGCAACCACCAAGAGGTATGACACCCTGAGGAGGCACCAAAGATTTCAGACAATTGGTTAAAATCACCAGTGAGAAGTGACATGATGCAGTTAGACCTAGATAAGACTGAGAGATGGGCATCCTCATAGAGCTAACAATAACAGATACATATATACAGGAAGTCTTATATATCTCCAGCTTATAAACAGCCCTTAGTAGTTATAAACGAGCTGACTGTGGTACTCAAAATGGCAAATAAATTTAATTAATTAATTAATTAATGATGAGATACCACCTATCTCATCATTTGGAGCAACTCTGGCTGAGTGACTGACCAGCAACAAGATCTGACTTGAAAAGGCAGATGGCACACATCCCCCACCCCCTGCAAATCAATGAACCACTGAAGCTACACAATGTCTCCATGAGTGTCACAGAATAGTGCATGCTTGTTTAATATGCTGTGCAGCCTGTTTTCAATGGTTCCTGAAAGCATTATATGGCTGCAGCAGTTCCTCAGCTAGAGAAAGAGGAATGCTGTCCTCTTTTTGCCCATTTTGAGTAATATCATGCTCCTGTATTTTTCTGACTATATAATAAGAAACATTTGACTAAATAACCTGTTCCAATTTACATACACATTCAACTTAAGGATAGAGTTAGGAACAGAACTCTTTCTTAACCCCGGGACTTGCTATACCTCAGGTTCAAGGTTCACTTAGCTCACAGATACTAACACACACTCTTGGCTACAACACCTACACAATGTGAGGTACTTTGTAAAGAAAATTATCTGAAAGAAAATAAGGCTTATTAAAGGAACGTATTTCCAGACAGTTCTATCTTTGTCTGACTGAATACTGAACATTGTGAGTTTATTTTCTCCTTTCTTCCTATATGTTGGTATTATGGAAAGAAAATAAGTGGAAACGATAAAAGTCATAAGCTGGTAATGACTGAAAGTTATCATCGTCCTCTTCCATAAATGAGGAGGGTTGTTTACATAAAGACTTTGTCTGGAAGCTCTCTTAGCTTCCCTGATCCATAAGAAACCTCTTCCAAAAAGAAAAAGGAGTACAAATAATTCAAACAGTTGTAAACTCTTGTTGTTGTCAGTTGTAAACTCTTCAATAGAGAGTGTTTGGCCACTGTTTTCCAGGCACTGGTCACCTCTATCTATTGGAATGTATTTCTTCATGGTGTCCATTCTTTTAAAATTTCTTCAACATTTCAATTAATGACAAATTCAGCTGATAGATCATATAATTGGGCCAGTTACACTAAACATATGGTAGTTTGTCACCCTGGGAGAAGAGAAACTCTTCAAGCATGGCATCCTATTGCTGGGATACTCTTATGGTGGCTTATCTAGAGCCATCTGCATTTCCCCCCAGTGCCAGTGAAGATGTTTCTCTTCATCAGAAGCTTCAGCATGGCACAAGAACTGGATGGTCAAAGATATTTCATCTTCTATGCAAAATTTGCTTGGTTTGCTTTGTGCTTATTTCAAACGAGCATTTCCCATCAGCAAAATGCTCATGATTGACAAAAGAAGAAGGAAGGGATTTCCGTGGATTTATCAGCCCCCTATAGCCTTCTGAAACCTGCCTTGCTCCAAATTTGGCATGAGATACTACAGGAGAATGTGGAACTGGTGAAAATCATGTTGTATATCCTTAACCGCATTGAGGAGAAAGAAGTCTTTAAAGTCTAAAGCTTGCTGTAATAACAATATTTTATATAAAAATATAAACGTGTGATAATTTGTACTGGTGTTTCTACTAAAATGCCAGTAGTAAAGATGGGGTTTTTTAAACAAATCTATTAAACAACAAACTATAAAATGTATCTAAAAAAATGCTATGGAAGCAGTAGCGCATAGATCAGGATCAGCTGGTAAATCTCTTAAGTTACAAGGTGTAGATGAAAAGTACTTCTGACTGTCAATTAATCATAAAGACAGAAAATACACGGAGGTTGCCTGTTTTCTAAATGAGAGGGGTGAAAAGAAGAAAGCTTGGGGAACAACAGAAGCACACCCAGAGAACTGTACACTCTGTTCCCAGGCTAAGCATATACTGGTACATTTAGGGGCACTTTTTATTTAAAGGCATAAGGGCATAATCACCTCCATGAATTATTACTGAGTTTCTGAATAAAAACAAAGTGAATGTCAGAAGCCTTAAGCCAAGTCCACTCTGAATGCATAGCCCCACAGATGTCTTCTGTTTCTGAGATACCTAATATTCAGGGTGTTCAGAAAAGGAGTAAACTTGCAAGAATAAGAAGTATAGAATGGAGAAGCTTTATTTACTTACAGGAAGTTCCTGGTTAATGACAGTAATTGGGATCAGGAACTCTCTTGCTACAGTTATAAAATATGATATCAGATGACTGCATTGACTTATGATAGCAAATTCCAGCAGTTCCAGTTCCGGATGTTAAGCATTAGCATACCATTTAGACTTATATACCACTTCATAGTGCTTTTACAGCCCTCTCTAAGCAGTTTACAGAGTCAGGGTATTGCCCCCAACAATTTGAGTCCTCATTTTACCAACCCCGGAAGGATGGAAGGCTGAGTCAACCTTGAGCAGGTAAGAATAGAACTGCTGGCAGTGAGAATGCAGAGTTAGCCTGCAACACTGCATTCTAACCACTGCACCACTACGGCTCTTTAAGCAAGTCTTGTGCTGACTTACCCATTGATTTTGCTTGTTGGAAACCGGCTGTGTAGGTCACAATACTGCTCATGTGACCACGGGATGCTGCAACCATCATAATTGAGAGCTGGTTGCCAAGCACCCAAATTACAACCATGTGATTGTGGGGACGCTGTGATGGCTGCAGTTTTGAGGATTGGCTATAGGTGTCATTCAGGGCCACTGTAACTTTGAACAGTTGCTGAATGAATGGTTCTTAATGGAGGACTATCTGTATTTATTTATCTACTGAACCTATGTGCTGCTCAGTTGCTCTGAGTTGCTTACGTCAAGCAACAATTATCATTCAAATAGAATCAATCAGTCAATCAAAACAATCACTCCAGATGGCCCCACGCAATCCTGGTTGTCCTCAAATGTTTTCTGAAATGCCACAACTTCAAGGCTTTTTGGCAGCTGAACAAGGAAAAGGCAATCTGGATTTCAAGGGGATTAAAAGTGCATGCTATATTTGATTGTTTACTCTCCAGGTTATGCAGGTTCATTTAAATTTTTTTTAAAGTTCATTTTAAGTACACAAATATATATATATATACTGTGAAGCAGAAATCTGGTCGTTCTAGACTTCTTTCTAACAAGACTCTATCTGAATGTCTTTGGAAGTGTTGCTAACCTTTGGATGGATATTGAAGTACCGATTACTTTCAAAGTTCTTCTTTTCACTCTCAGCATAGTAAAGCAGAAAACTTTCCTTGATGATAAAGAATCTGAAAAAGAAATATTTCTTTATGTAAAATTTTAATTCTCCAACAGGCAAGGGTAACATGTAGTTATTTAAACCCTGGTGGGTGCCATGGTCCACAGTGTAGTACAGGGGTCTTCAAACTTGGCCCTTTTATGACTTGTGGACTTCAACTCCCAGAATTCCTCAGCCAGGCTGGCTGAGGAATTCTGGGAGTTGAAGTCCACAAGTCATAAAAGGGCCAAGTTTGAAGACCCCTGATGTAGTAGAAAGTGCCGATGTATCTGAATGGGTATGAATTGGCCTTTACATAAGTCTAGCCCTTTTTTTATAATATCTTTTGCTATTCTACTAATTTCATTTTGAGGAAACTTTCCTTTTACTGAGTTCCCTGCACATCCTATTTTGCGCTTTAGTGATTATAATCCATTGATTTCCATTCTTAAGCCTAAAAGAAGATAGTTGAATTACTTTTTCAGCATTTTTTCAAGTCTAAATTTTGCCGCCTATATGCCAGTTCCAGAAAAATTACATAGATCTGTACTATCACACACTGAATCTTGGGGGAAAAAGTAATGTGGTACTTTTAAATATTTATTTGTTAAAAATGCCTTCTATATCAGTTCCCATTATAGAAAATTTGGAAGCAGTTAAAATTTTTGAACTCCTTCTCAAAGAAAAACAATTAAAAAGGTATAGAGGTAGTCTTTGATTACTGGCTGCTTTGTTTTACAACCATTTGAAGTTGCAACAGTGCTAAAAAAAACCCCAAAGCTTGCCACCCTTCCTTGCATTTATGACCCTTTTAGTGATCACGACTGCCATTTGTGTGTTTCTGAACTAGCTTGTAACAAACAGAGTAAATACAGAAGGCAGAAGTAAAATTGCTTTGCTTAATGAGCAAAGAGAAAGTGAAGTTGTAAGCCTGTCACAGTCACATGATGTTTCAATTAGTGTCTGTGGAGCTTGGCAGTAGAGTTGCTGGTCCCAACTGTGGTGACTGAGGACTACCTGTATTGGGAGAATTAGTGGCTGGGTAAAGTCACTGTAAAGAGGTGAATTTCTTTAAAAAGAACTGCTAAAACATATCAGTGATGTGTACTTGGTGATATATGAGAAGATTCTAGTGTAGTAGTTTAAGTCGAATCATCAATATAGAGTCCCTCATTTATATTTACATGAAGAAACATGAAAAGTCACATTACTAAGTGAGATCGGTAATATGTTTGTTATAAGTGACTTCTGGTCACCACCCTAAGTCGGCCAAGCGTGGTGAAGCCGTCTTGACCATCGATTAAAAAACAACGGGTCCGGGTCTTACCTGCTCTGGAAGCGGCATCCACGCAGAGAACCGGTTGTTCACATATTTGAATCCCACCACTGAAGACATATTGTACATAATGTACCAAATGTATAATGAGGTTATGGGAAGTCAGCCCCCCGCCAGAGAAGGAAATATTAAAAAGGGCAGAATATAATAATAATAATTATTATTTATTGAATTTATATACCGCCCTATCTCCCTTACAGGACTCAGGGCGGTGAACAGGCGATAATAAAAACCACGATAAATATACACAAGTTTCTGTTCTAAAATCAAATTAATATTTCCTCAAGGGATCTTAAAAAGGCAGAAAAGCATGCCCAGTTTTTCTTAATAGCCCCAAGTTTCCCTCCCTCATGCAGAAACCGGCTCTGTAGAAATGCAGATATCATAATCCTTTCAGAAAGACTGGCACCTGGAAGCTTAGAGATGATGGGATTAGAAAGACAAAGATTCCCTAGAATCAACAATCCCTCACACCAAAAACATCCAACACAGGACATATCAGCCATACACCCCTGGGAAGCAGGATATGATCTTAGGACATAATAGGATTGACCCACCACAATCAGAATACCAGAAAGGCACACTCAGACTCAGGTCAAAGTTCATGCCACAGGAACAACTCCAAACAAAAGCCCAAGAAAGTATAAAAACCCACCATTCCCTACTACATGTGGCCAGCTTTCCCAGAGCCATCTTTCTGTCTGGCTCTCTACAACCTTCTTTCTAAAGCAGTCTCCATTTTGTTTATTCCCAGTTTAGAATAGACCCTGATGAAAATTTTTCTTTCAACAAGGTCTAGATTATTTTATAAAATGCTTTAGTTTCTCAGCAGTAAGAATGCTAATGAAATATGTGAAAACAAATCTTAAAATCCACTGGCATTGTCTTTGGAATGGAAGACTAAAGCAAAATGTAATTATCCAGACTGGAAATGTCTTTCACAAAAGAAGTTAAGATAAAAGATGTGTTTGTCCTGAGCTACAGATAAATTTCAGAGCAGTTCCAATTCTCAGCAACTCTCTTAGCATAA